AAATAACGTCTCTACCGCAAAAACAAACCGTCACTAATTTTATATCTCTTTAATAAAGGACAATCCTTTAAAACTCTAAACACGGCTCGAATCGAGTGTGATTAGCATAAACAAAGAAGTCGTCCGCATTTACTAATCGACTTAAAATGAATGCCTATTGTCGACTACTAAGTTTGGTCCATCGCATTGATAAACTGTCTCTGACAATTATTCGTTTAGGCCTCACACGAAGTACCTTTATTTGCATGTATGTTCTCACAAGACACATTTCGTGAGTTGTAGGTACCTTACGACCTAAGTTATTTAGAGAGAGAGAGAGAGAGAGACGATTGTTGAGATTGATACACTGACATACACCGCTGAAAGGAAATAGGGACATACCTTAAGCCTTAATTATACTACACAAACGCGTGGTTATCATAGAATCATTTTTATATAATATAAAAAAAAAATCATCCCACAAAAAATGGGTCACTATCAAGATTGCTTTTTTAATATTTAATTTTTTGAAATAAACAACTAACAATTCTGCTCTATAAACTGAACGTATTAGAGTAAATGTATTGTATTGGTTCTAAATTATTATTTTGTAAACATTAATTTGTTCTATTAAAGTTTCATAAAATGCTATTAGTTCTCCACAATAAAATTATCCGTTAGGACTGTTTTAGGTACGTTCTTAGAGCTCATTAACATAGAGATCACTTATAGAATTGTTCTGAAAACATTTATACAACTATATGGGATATTTTAGCACATAGAAGTAAAAAGTTCTTTGAAAACTCTATAAAAATGTTTAAGATAAATCATTTGAAAATTTTATGCATTCGTATTGGGCAGTTCTATATTACACTCGGAACAAAATATTTGAGAAGATGATTCATCCCTGTTCATCGTAGTATGCCAGTAAATTATAAATGGTATCACATGGTTATCACACGCCATATGACGGCAGAGGTCATACTAGTCTGGTATGCATGCTCATTACCAAAATATATTCTTTTCCAGTGTAGTAAGAACATAAATTGGCAAATTTAATATTAAAATGGGGTATTAGTAAATATTAATACATGAAATAAGGTTGGTTATCTATTTTTTGTTGTAATAATTATCTATTATAATACTAGGAGATATGAAGGGATCGTTTTCCCACGAAGTGAAAAAACTATCGGGAAAAGAAATACTAACTATTTAGCCCCAAGAATTTACGTGCTGTTATCTAATGATATAAAAAACTCAAAAAGTTTTAATTTATATAAAAATCGAATTAAAAAATGGATTATGGAAACAGAGAGACGATTTTTTACCGATATAGTAAATCAAACTCTACAGTGACAAAAGTAGCCATTTCAAGAATATGTGTCTGCAAGATTATGTGTCTGATATTTTAATTTTAACTTACCTCTATTTTGTCCTTATACCCCGAATGTGTCTTAAACTGGATTTGACAATATATTTTTTTTTTCACTGGGTTTGACAAAAACCCTGTTTGTGTCGCCCAAAAAAGGCAAAACAAACTGTATTAAGGTCACAATACAAGTAGTTCTAAAAACTACTTCTGTGGCTTAACTTTGTTTATTCACCCTCTACTTAGTATGTATTATTTTAATGAGGTAGTTACTAAGTCTTTTTAATAATATGTTACTTGTATTTATCCTAACTTTTATGTATCTATCCTTATATTTATATTTATTATTGAATTTATGTACTGTACTGAATTGAATTGAATTGAATAAACATTATTATTATTATTATTATTATTATTATTATGTTTATAATTTTATTTTGTTTATCGTGAAAATCTGTAAATGTCGCTTACATGACACAAGCGCGTAGGTAGATTTGTTTTCTTGGGGGGGGGGGACAATTCTCAAATTATTGGTGAAAGCGTAGCGTGTTATCTTAAAATATGGTAAAAATTTCAACGTCTAGAATTCATATGTGTACTTATAGAGTTTTATAATGAAGTTTTTAATTTTTTATTTATTTATACAGAGTGTTTCAGAATAAAGTACCGTAATTTTGGGGATTTGTAGATCTTAAACAATTATAAAGAAAAGCTAACTATAATTTTCTTATAAACGTTCTAGTTTTTAATCTACATGGTGATAAAGTGAATTTCATAAATACATATTTTCTAAATATCTTCCTTTATAGTAAAGACTTTACCTTAAAAATATGTATATGTTAGGTAATCGTTATTATTAGTTAACACGTTCTATTTGGATAAATTACCATTGGCGTAGAATCAGAGGCTAATGAAACAATTTTATTCAAAACTTTTTGAACACCCTATATTTCATAAAACTTAAGATTAAAATAATTATTTCTCACGCCATGTCACAAAAAAGGGACTTCTAGTTGATATTTCCGATGTGATAGAACTATACGGAGTGTTTTGAAACATGTCTTAAATATGGCTAATTTTAATTTAAATTTGCTCAATTTTGTCAAATAAAACACACTATATTATTTTGGCATAAAATTCCTTATAAATTTCCCTATCCAACGATACCCAATAGTGCGTAATTGATCGATAGCTGTTTTATTATTGGAAATAGGAAAAATAAATTAATATACAGGGTGTTTTTTTAATTATGCGAAAAAATTCAGAGGCGTGTCCCTTGGGCGAAATAAAGCAAAAAAGTTCCTATGAACATATATCCAGTGGCCTACCGTTTTTTTTTTTTTTAAGAAATATTCAGTTCAAAGCCCGCATGAACGCCAATGGCGAATGTAAAAGTTTCAATTGTGTATCGGAAAATGGCTTTGGATGCATAGAAACTACGTACCAATTTTCAGAAAAATATTTACAGTGGTATTAAATGTATCGCAAAAATAAGTTTTTTTCTTATAACTTTCCCACCCTGTAGTTCAAAATCTAAGAGGCGTAGGACATATGTTCATAAGAACTTCTTTGCTTCACGCCTCTGAATTTGTTCGCAATATTAAAAAAATACCCTGTAAAAGTTGTATGACCATGTTTAATAAATATTCTTAAATATACAGGGTGGTTCATAAACGAAAGGCTGACCAAACTTTATATTTAATTGTTTTCACATCGTCAAATAACATTAATAGTTTTTATGTATTTGCTATGTTGTATATAGGGTATTTCAAAATAAGGGGTAACGATTTTCTCATTTTTTTTTTAATAGAATACCCTATATGTCATATCACCAATTAATGAATACAGGGTATTCCATTTAAAAAATTGACAAAATCGTAACCTCTCGTTTTGACACAACCTATATACAACATATCAAATGAATGAAGTCAATTAAAATTGTTTAACGATGTAAAAACAATGAAATATGTATTACTACCTGCAGGGTGTTTTGCTTTAAAAAAGTATAGATTTGGTCAGCACCTCGTTTATGGACCACCCTGTATATTTAAGAGTATTTGTTAAATATGGTCATACAACTTTTACATTAAACATTTCTTCGTATTTCTAATAATAAAACAGCTATCGATAAATTACGCACTGATGAGACACCCTATATATGTGTTATTGACTAACATATTGGTATTGATGTATAGGCAAATTTATAAGGAATTTTATGCCAAGAAAATGTACAGTGTGTTTAAGTAAATTAAACTTAAAATTAGCCATATTTAAGACATGTCTCAAAACACTCTGTATTAACTAAACCAGTTGTATCACCTCTATTCGTTAGCTTAGTATTTTATAAGTCTGTATATTAAACAATTTTGAAATCAATGTAAACCTACCTAAATTATGATAATTTATTTTGGTATTATAATTAAAAAAAAAATAATTCCTTGGCAAAACTAATATTTTTTAAAAACATTCTAGCGTTAAATACAATATTCCCAAGTCATTCTAAACATAAAATACATGATGTTCTTTTTAAAAAATATACATTTTTATTTGTCAGGCAAAAACGCAACACCCTGTATATCCAAAAATATTTTTGAAATTTGTATTTTTTAAATATAACTTTCATTTGCTTGTCTATAACACAAATTGAAATATTGAACAGTTACGCACTAATGGGACCCTGCATATATATTTTAATTTTCAATTTGCAGGAATATTATTATTATTATTATAAATGACAGTTTGTCTCTATTTTTGTTTAATATAACGTTTAAAAAAATTATGATGTTGACTATGGCTTGAGGGGGGTAATTACCCCCATTACCCCCCTCCCCTTATCTACGCCCTTGACATGACTTCTGAATTTATAAAGTACCGTAATCTTTATAATTTTGCAGAACTATCATTGGAGTCGCTTCAATCATACCGTTTAAGTGTCTCATATTAATTTCTTCCTTAGTTACGTAAGAAATAGGATTCTTCCAATCTTTAGGTTTTTAACGTTCTATGCCGGTTTTTAATAAACGTTGAACGTCGGCTATTTTGAATGTATTGTTTTTCGTACCACAAACCCTTTCATTTGCGCATAAATGAGACTAAAAAGCCTTAGTAACGTAATATCACGATCGCGACATAATTGAATATATTTATGGTATTATTCCTTTATAAGATCCATTCATTCCACTTTAAGCATCTCCTTAGTAAATGTTATTATTTAATCTCAAAGCCAGCTTTGCATAGCTCTTTCTTACTAAACATGGTCGGAATGCGTCAACTCACCAGCTGCGATAAGAAAAGTTATCTAGTACAATAACTGAATTTTGTTCTACACGCTGGAACTATTGTAACGGTAGAATTCTCCTATCACAATTGTTTTTATCGAATTTATAGATTTACCAATATTTTACTATTATTTTTAAAAATATGTTAATGTTCAACTATTTAATAAAGTTTACTTGACATATTAGCTTATAGTTTAATCAGCAAGTAGTTACTTTCAACTTTACTAAAAGGGTTTTTAATTACTAGAACCCTGCTATAAGATTAATATCCTTCTTTTTAGGGTATAGTGTATATTTTATGTACAGTGTGATTCTAAAATATACTTGTTTATTCTAAAATATAATAATTATCTAAAATATGTAATATTTTTTAGGTGACTACTTGCGAGATAAATACGATGGAGCAACGGAAGTGAGAGTGAACAGAAGAGGTCGCCTCCAGCTCCGGGATCCGAGAGTTACCATCCCCACGGCTTACGATCTGGTGTACTTAGAAGACTCGCCGAACTATTGTGTTAAAGACGATATTACAGGATCCTTGGGTACGCAAGGACGAGTGTGTAACAGGACATCGCCTGATATAGACGGTAACAATGAACTTTATCCAAATAAAACAGACAATTTTTTTCAAATAGTTGTAGTTTTTGTAAAAGGAAATTAACACTCGTCAAAAAAGATGGTAGCAGTTCAACAATATAACACAAAAATGAATCGGACTTAAAAAGTAGAAGGAAGAAGATGGGAGCACGAAATGTGCAGGTCACTAATCTTGAATGCCTTTATCTATTCTCAACATAATGCCTGTCCAGAATAATGTTGTCCTAACTCTATTATGTAAATTTTTACAGAAAAAGGAAATTATATAATGCATATACCTGTATTAGTAAGAATATTTAAAGTATGCAGTTTTTTAAATTAGTATTTTATTACTAAGCTTCTGTTAATCCTATTTGCACCAAAATTTAGGATATTTTATTACACCTACGGGCCTGTAAAAATTTACATAATACAATATTATTCTGGACAGGCGATAAGTAAATCTAGAAATTGGGTAGATTTCAAAAACATGAGTCCAAAAAATTAGTTTTGAGAGAATAGCAAACAACGATTTACCTTGATGCACGTTCAATTTGCTAGCCAAATATTTGGCCAAGTATTTAGATACATTTTTAAGGGCCTAAGGGTTTTTACTACTGGTTATCTGGCTTACCCATTTTTTCCAAAGAAAAAATAAAACAATTGGACTTATGTTGTTTTTGCCAGAATTAGGACATGTGTTATGTTTACCAGAAAAAGACCAGTTGCACGTGCTGGAATTAACTTGTTCCTATGGTTTATGTGTTCTAAACCTTTTATTTTTGTATTCTGCAGTCGGCTATAGTAAAAGAAGTTATTAGTAACGTTTTTATATAATAATGGCTGCATAATATTAGCCACGTTATAGTTCCCAAACTGGAATATTAGGAAAGAAAATGTTTTAAAGATTGATCTGATCCATTACATCATTGGTTGGATAAACAATATAGTATTAATTGGCAATAACGTTCTACATGCCTTTTTTAGTGATTAGGGGCATTTCCACAGTTATTAATATTTTTTTTTACTTCCGCATGAATATTATATATTATATATTATATATTTTTTTCACAATATACAGAATGTATAAGTGAACTGAATCCAAAATATAAATCACAGTTCGCAATAAGTACCTGGCTTTATTTGCGCAAATTTTACTTGAGCTAAAATGTACATGCTGTATGTTAATGAATGTTTTTTTTGTTTTCTGTAGGTTGCAATCTCTTGTGTTGCGGCCGAGGCTACAACACCCTCAAGAGCGTCATCAAGGAGAGGTGTCAATGCAAGTTCAAGTGGTGCTGCCAAGTCGAATGCAAGACGTGTGTGCGCACAACGGATGTTCATACTTGCAAATAAGTTACGCGTTACGGAAATGACGTAATCGATCTACAAGGTGTGATTAATAATTTTTAGACTAAAATCTTACCAAAATGGCGTCAAATAGTTATTCTTGGTGAAAATATGAATTTGAACTGTATATTTATTGAAAATATTGGTAAGTTACGGAAAAAGTAGTTGAAAATGATTGGCAGACAAATTTTTATGTACAGTATTTGCCGTTAGTAAAATAGGTGAAATATTTTTGTGGCAGACCAATATTTTAATTTCAGTCTTAACTTTAAAAACAAAAAATATGGACTAGTTGTTCGATAAGGGTTATTTGTTTTATAAATAAATATTTTTTCGATCGATATTTTTTTTTGCAAAACAGCTCTTTCTTTTTTCTGATCATTTTACATCGCATATATTTTTTTTTATTAAGTAAGGTTAGAATTTTGTCGCAGTATCTCGAACTATAATAACTGTAGCAAAAAAGTTTCAGATCCGAATAAATATTACTGGGTAAATTATTCAAAATAAAATTTAACTACAACACTGTATATTGAAAATAGTACATTATTAAAATATTAATTTTACAAGAAGTAAATAAACATTTTTCGTACGTGTGCATAAAAATTTAATAATCATATAATTACCAATAAATTTTGAAATACGTTTGCATTCCAATGTGCGAGTTATTTTTTTCTAAAAAACGCCTTGTAGATTCTGAAAGACCTAATGTTCAACATAAATGTATGTTTTTTGTGTCGAGAGTGATGGTGTTTATAGTGAACTATAATAATTAGAAAAACAAATCTACTTAAGGTATTTACAAAAAGATTATTTGGTAATTATTACAAAAAGTTATTCACTTGCTAGAGAACTTTTAAATCAACTGATAATAAATGGTGTCCTTAATTATATTACAGTCAATATCTTCGTTGTTTGAAGAAATAAAAGTTTTAGGGACTTGTTTTCATTAGTTGGGTTTTCTTTTTCTAGAGAATATGTTTGTAACGAAGAGAACAAGAAGAAACCATCTAAAAATATATTCAAACATTTGTTTTTCTTCATTGCAGCACTTTCGGTTTACTCTGTAAAAATTAGAATTATATAACTTAATTAGGATACTAAAATTTTCTTGAACCTATATTGAACTTATATATATCGCTAAATAATAAAATTTGGGACAACCTGTATACATATTTCTGGACGCAAAAATTAAAATTGCTCTAGTGGGTACATACCTTTGAATTTCGACACGCATCGACTTGTACAACTTCTTAGTTTTAAGATTGTGTATTATTTTTTATTTATTTATTTGTTAAAACACTTAATATATTTGTTTATATTTCCTACTTGTTTTATTATACTTTAATATAGAATGAAATATCCCCCAAAATATGACTAAAATTTTCATTTCAATAAACATTTTCAGAACTTAGACCAGTTGATAATGTCGCAATTTACAGCTTTCAGAAGTATTTTTTTTTATAAAGTGAAACATTTTTGATAATAACAAACGTCAAAAAAGCTAGTAGTATAACAATATATTACAAGGCAGCACAAAAATTAATAGGACTAAAATAGTAGAAGAAAAATGGGAGCACAAAATGAGCAGGTCATTGACCTCTAATGCTTTTATCCCCTCTCAACATGAATGAGTGTAAAATTTTCTGTACAAAGTACTAACGAGTTGATTTCAGATCAAAGTACTAATCACAATATTTAATTCACACTTGTTCAAAAATAGACCGATCTTTACTGAGTCTTGTCGATGCATATAGTAGAAGATGTTTCGATATTATTTACGTTATGGTTCATGGAATATCAGGAAGGAAAATATTTCAAACATTGATTTTATATTATTGATTGTCAATAAAATGTTCTTAATTTTGGTGATGTTTTTTTTTTTATTTTAATGAACTTCAACAGCATTATTTTTTTATTGGTGTTTACAACTTTTGAAACTCATGCTATTAGCTTCATATTCTGTGCAGATTATTGAGTACTAGTAATCTATTATAATTAGAGTGATATTTTCTTAAGTGGAATGTGTAAGCAACGTCAAAAACGAATATGATGTTTTTATTATCTGAAAAGAAAATTGATGTATTTTATGTAGATTGTCTTAATAAATTTTTATATATGTTTACCATTAACATCAGTGCGTGGTTCAGCTCTCCTAGTGGTAATGCTTGCAAATATAAAGGTTTCTGACATTGCTTTATAATAAACAACACGGCTTTTTGAGTGTCAATATCGACTGTATACCATTTTGAATTATAAGCAGCCATGCCGATGGATTCAGTCTGAAATATAAATTTAAAAAATATATAGAAAATAAAATAATTAAAATAACGAAAATATTTACTCCATCTTGTATTGTTTGTCCTGCATTACATAACATATATAGAGCTATCAACCATCCCACCAAATGAATACATGCCCCAATCAGTTTATTCTAAAAAAAGATATATCGTCATAAAAGGAACTTTTCTGTTTAAAATTAGGAATACGAAACAAATTGCCAGTATTATCCATCAAAAAAAATAACTATTTTATGCTTTATAAACCAAATTTATAACCTATATTCAGCCTGATGAGTACCCGCATAAGAAAAAAACTTTTCAATATAATTTTCATTTACATCAAAACCCACTTTTGGTCCAAAGTTTAATAAAAAAATTAAAATAAAAACAAATTTGCTACCAAGGTGCAACACCCCATTATAAATTTAGTACCTTAAAAAAATAAATATTAACAATATTCTCTACATTACAGATAAATAAAAAAAGGTTTGTATAAAAAAAATTGTTCATCATTAATTTATAATAATTATAAAATTATCAAGAAAAAAACATTTAAACAAAAATTGAATTTTATTAAATATACAAAAAAAAACAATGAAGAGGGCCATCCAATTTGGGGCCGAAAGCTTTGATACTACATGCAACATATTTGAAAGTTTAATTATAAATCTTATCTTTAATAAATCACATAAAAAAAGCTATTAGATACATACCATGTTTACAACTTGATTCGTTATACAAGCAAATACCAGCGCAGCCATTAAAGAAAACAGCCCCATACAAGTTTTTGTTAAAAAGTTAAACTCTTTTATAATTCTACAACAGAAAAACATTGCAAGGTTTTTATGGTAACGACCCACGAGAGATATCCTAGCAAGAGATCCCTTGGAAACTTCGAACGATTCCTTGGAAACCTCGAGAGATTTCTATGGAAACTTCGAGATATTTCTTAAAAACTGCAAGAGATTCCTTTGGAAACCTCAAGAGATTTCATGGAAACCTCGAGAGATTCCCCTGAAAACTTCTAAAGATTTCTTGTAAACTTCGGGAGATTTTTTGTACACCTCGAGAGATTTCTTGTAAACCTCGAGAGATTCCGTGGGAACCTCGGGACTTTCCTTTGAAAACTTCGAGATAATTCTTGTAAACCTCTAGACGTGTCTTGGAAAACTAGAGAGATTCCTTGGAAACCTCGATAGATTCCGTAGAAACCTCGAGAGGTTCCCTTGGAAACCTTGAGAGATTCTTTGCAAACCTCGAGAGATTTGTTCAGATATTTCTTTAGAAACTTTAAGATACTCCTTGGCAACCTGTAAATATTCTATAGAAGCTTGAAAGCGCAAACACAAAACTTTGTACATCCTGAGGATATAATATTATTCTCTGCATTTTGCTTACTTGAGGACTTGAAGATGGTACGAGATCCACAAAATAAGTAATTTTCTTCGTTTGTACCCTCTTTTTTCCTGCATTATGTTTTGTAATGTTACCTTTAATAGTTCGATGTGCAAAATTAGCATGTCCGCAACTTCCCATATCAGAAAGCAGATGCTGCCAGCTGAAATACAAAAATTGATAATAAGGAGTACCCATTGTGTGTAATTTTTTTTCAATTCCAAAATTTGTTTATACAGTTTGACAACCCCGCATTGTTTATGAAAAAGAGACTTACCAGGAATGAGAGCAAACTGAATTATTATAAATTGAATGAAAAATATGGTCCACTCGGTTAAAAGACTGATTTCTATTGGTAACCACATTGGTATCATTGATGTGCAAATTATATTTATCTCTGGAGCTTTTGCTTTTATCTCATAGCATTGTTTGGATTCGTACAAACTAGCCATTCCATACAGTATGGCTCCGAAAAAACAGTAGACCCTAAAATGGTGAATATTTCAAACTTTTAAATAAAGAAATTGCTACAGTGGAGTACATTTTAACATTGGAAATGTTTTTTGTTCAAGGGCAAAATACGGTGGTGTCGCTATCGAGTGATGTAATACATATAGATCGAGAGTGTTCACTAGGTCTGCGCAGACAATGTAATGATTTCAGCGAATTTCGAAGTGAACACTTCGGCGAATACAATCGGTAGGACGATCGGTGCGTTAATATTCTAGACTGTAATCTTCTTTTTAATACAAATCTATTTGTTTTATTCTATTTGGATATTCATTTATATTGCAATAATAATTTGTTTAAAATTTTATTTTTTTAAATTTTTTTTATTAAACCGTTTTTCTATAAATAATGTATGTTGCTTGTGGTAGTGGTGTGAAATAGGCAATACCTGCTTTCAAGGAAACGGTACTATTTATATGTCCTGACGCGATGCTTAGCTGTGGGACCCTTTCATTTTCTTATTAGCATCTATAAAGTAATTTTCAACGCTAATTTCGCGTTCACTTCGGTTAGCTTCGCGTCAAAACTTTCAAATTCTGTGTATGAAGTGGGAGAACTTGCAAAAGCCTTTCTGTTGTCCCTGATATACAGGGTGTCCCGAAATTAGACGGTCATATTTTAACAGCGTAATCTACATCCTAAAATAGGAGTAAAAGTTTATATAAACAAAGGTCCGAAAACGTTTCTTTTTCGAGATACAGGGTGTTAAAAGTGAAGTCCTGATGACACATTTTTGTAAATATTTTCTAAACGCTTAGAGATAACCAAATGAAATTTGGTACACATGCTTAGCTTTTTACGCTCTATGTTATGAACTAAATCTTAGTTTTTGATCATCTTTATAGATGGGTAAATTAGGGGGGGCTTAAGGTAAAATTGCCCTAAGTTTTTTTGTTGTTAGTTTTTAACAATTTTGACTAAAAAATTTGGAAACCTAATGCTTTCTTTACAATAAAGCTACTCCTGCTGCATCTCGCTAGGACGCACCATTTTCAAGAGAGACGCATTTGAAAATTTCATGATAAATTCATATTATCTTATTCGAAAGTGCAAACAAAAATTAGTAGGCCTGGAATCCAATAGCTGCTTTTCAATTTTTTGAAACGCTGTGATAAACAAAAATTGGCTGTCAATTGTGTAATTATTTGTACTTTTTTTGCGTGAAAGAAAAATACTTCTAATAAATGGAGATATTTTCAAATAGAGAATTGGCAGATATTCATTTTGTATATGGTTTGTGTAATGGAAGGGCAAGAGCAGCGGTTCGAGCATACCGTAGACGGTTTTCTAACCGAAGAATTCCTGACTACCGTGTATTTATTAATACACATAGAAATTTGGTTGACCATGGTTCATTTCAACGTAATCGTGGACAAAGGAGACCACATGGGAACAACAATTTGGAACACGCCCTTAATTTATTTGAAGAGGACCCAAGAAGGAGTATTCGAACTGTTTTCACCCTTTCAGAAATATCACGAGCAATAGTAAGTAATAATTACGTCCCTTTTTCTTTATACTATTTTATGACTCTTAGTTTTTATTGCTCAAATTTACAAGTACAAGTATTAGAAATTAAAAATTTAAACAAACCGACTTCAAAAACGTGCAGATGCCATCACCACATCTTAACCAAATTTATATGGGACTTCTCTTGAGGTATCCCCTTACTAAAAAAAAAATAATCATATAAATCGGACAAGGTGGTAAAGCATTATCGCTAAACATACATAAAAAATGAATACCGATTTCAAATCTCTTATTGTATTCTTCATTATCTGTATCTTCATCAATATGAGGCTCTATTAAAAATGTTTAAGTACCATACCCCAGGAGATTTTGATCTTCATCCTGATTCGTTCCCGAATTTGCTTTAAGTGGAGGCCTCATGAAATTATGAACGATATTTAGCTTAAAAGCTGCTTTGAAACCCCTAACAATAGGATTTCGATTAAAACTCCCTTTCTGCCTATAGACAGAAAGTTGGTTTTCTAATGGATCCTGAATTAGTCTTCCTATTAATACATATTTAAGTTGAGTTTGCGTAATAATATAGAAATAAAACTCTTTAACGGCATTTATGGTAAGAAGAAAACCATCGAATAAATCCGGTCTCGTTAATTTACCTTTGGCAGTTTGTTTAGCTATATTTTTTAAAAGTTTGTATTCTTGTGTAACAGCATTAAAATCACCTCTTTAGTCTCAATATAATACGATCGATCACAAGGTTTCGAACTATATGCAGGAGAACTATTTAAGCCATCAAATAGGTTGTTCATTGTTTCAATAAAATAGACTGTATTTTCAGTCGTTATGGAAACTAATTCTCAGTTTTTGTTGCCGTTTTAATGGTTGTAGTTACAGAATGGTTGTGATTTTTAATAAAGCTCCTCCAGATTTTCTACGTTGGGCCAGTTCATAAACCTATTTAACATCAGCATATCTGATAAATTTTCCATTGAAGATAAAATAACCTTGTAAAAACTTATTTCGAACGCATTTTACTAGGTCAGGCACTTAAAAAATACAAAGTAATTGTTTTCTCCTATGGCAAATTTAGGGTTATCTACAGTAATGCCCAAAGATCTATAGACTTTTTGGTTAACTGTGGATAAATCACACATTATCCATTATTCCTATAGGTTCCAAACCTGAGTCTCGAATATGGATTAAACCTTTAATAATAATAGTTTCGAGGGATTAAGCATCGACACCGTTTTGGGTAAGAAAAAATGCTGCTGGAATTTTTCATTGGGAAATTACACTAAAGCGTGTCCGGCAAAAATTGACTTTCTTTTGTTGTTCTCAAAGTATTCAAACCCTTCAATGACATCTAATTTTTTATTATATTCGATGGTTTTCTTAATAGCCATCTCATCGAACAACAGAATACATTTTTGTCCTCGTTTGTTATTGTCTCTGATTTAATTCAAATCTTTTTGAATATCTGATGTCAGGGTTCATAAAATATCACGCAACTTCGTTTGTTTGTTCTTTTATATTATTCAGTTATTTTAAAAGCAAAAGCTCATAACCTTGCAAGAATTTAAGATTTTAACTGAGAAAAATTCGCATACCTCATTCCAGTCTGTTTATAAGATCGTTGAAGTGAAAAAGAGAAAATTTGTAATATATATCCATGATACTATAAAAAGAATATTATATTAGGCCGATTGACACGGGGACATATTGAGGTGATCGAAAACAGCACGCGAAAATAAATTTTAGTCAGCTCATGGCCATTCATCTATATTCCACACCATATTACGCGTCATGCGCGAACTTGTATCATGTAATATATCTCAAAGTTGACAACAATAAAATATGATTACTTCATTCAACAGCAGCAATATAAAATCCGGATCAATAAAAGCCGGAGAGTATCAAAACACAACGGTTCTGTTTACTCAGTTAGTTTTTTAAATATTAATTATATAAGATCTTTTTGAGTTTCAACCAGTACAGACCGAAATAATTTTGAATTTCATTCTCTTGAACTTATAGCATACGAATAAAAATAGTCGTAAATATTGTAAAAATTGCAAAATATTATATTATACGTTAAATAATATCATTTAATATATTTTATATATTTGTATAGAATAAAAAATTAAGTCATCTTTTTTCTTTATTTATTTCAAGTTAAAAAGAAGATATCTTTCTGCAAAAAATTATCACATCATTACAACAGCAAACAGCAACAAAATCAAGAAAAATTTGTAAAGAAAACTAATTATTTTCTCCACGTTTCTTTCACAGATAAGTCAGAAAACATGTAAATTAATATATTGTGAAACATTTGTTAAATACATTATTTAAAAGACTGATTTATAGATTTTATTATTTTAGTAGCTTAGTTGATATTCTTGGGACAATGAATTATTTTAGAAAATATATACCCATTATATAAATACATTGCTTTAACCTAACTTTTTCTAATCAAACACTTTTTTAAATATACTAAAATATTGAAAATTCTATACTAAAAACAAAATTATTTCATGTAATAAATATTCCCACTTTGCACCATCGAGCAATACTAAACTTTCAATACTAGGTAGACGAGTAAGACAATATCGCCTATCCCTCGGTACGAACACGGAACGTCTTGAGGAAGGATATTGTACGAGGGCGGTTTGACGGAAGAGTGACTTTTCAATGAAAAAGTTACTTTACTTTAAAAAAATATTATATTTTTCAACATAATCTCCTTTTAACTCTACACACTTAGCCCAGCGAATTTCCAATTTTTTCAAACCATCCAAAATATAATTTTTTGGAAGTTCCGCAAAATACGCGTTTCTCTCTTCCATCACCTCTTCATTTGTCTGAAATCGCTTTCCACCAAGCCATTTTTTAAGTTTGGGAACAGAAAGTAATCGGATGGAGCCAGATCAGGTGAATATGGTGGCTGAGGCAATAAGTCGTAACGCAGTTCAGCTAATTTTTCTGCAACAATAGAGGACTAATGGACAGGCGCGTTGTCGTAATGGAACACAACTCTTTTCTTCAACAAATGCGGTCGTTTTTTCTTAAGTTCGGCATTAAAACGTGTCAGCAAATCAGGATAATATTGGCCAGTTATCGTTTTTCCTTTTTCTAAATAATTAATAAAGATTACACCTTTGGAATCCCAAAACATTGTGTCCATGATCTTACTGGCCAAAAAAACGGTTTTTGCTTTCTTGGGAGGACGTTCCTCCGATGAAGTCCATTGTTTCGACTGTATTTTTGTTCCTGGGGTATAATGGTATACCCAAGTTTCATCTACTGACATATTGACGGAAAATGCACTTGGATTACAGTTGAAGATATCCAAACATTCGATGGAATTTTTAATGCGACCGAACTTTTGATCAGCATTAAGCAAACGCGGCACCCACCTTGCAGATAGCTTTTTCATATGTAAAATTTCATGCAAAATATTGCATACCCGTTCAGTTGAAATAATTACTTCATTAGCTATTTCACGTACT